ATATATATATATATATCATGGAAATGGAAATTAAATAATATACATGATAGAAATGAAAAAGGGTACAATAATTTTATTTATTTTTTGATAATTACTATACAAAAACAGGGGGAAAAATTATGTCTTGGTTTCTCTATAATAACCTTAAATAATTCTTGAGAGAAAAAAAAGGGAAAAAATGTAAGAAATGTCTATTACTTGTATGGATACCGTTAATTTTTTAATATTTGTAATTATAGTCAAACATAGTAGAACTACCTAGCACATTTTATAAAAGAAAAAAGTACAACTAAGTTAGACTACATTTAGCAATCCCTTATACATTTACCAGTTTTATTAATGTTTAATCTTTGTTATACAACTTAGCTGATAAACTTTAGTAAATTAGTAGAGTCTGCCAAATAATATTTTATTCATTAACAAGACTAAAATTCAAAGCTCAGTTTTACCGAAACCAACAACATGCTGATATCTGCCCCTTTAATTTTGAAACAACAAATTGCAACAATTAAGAAAAGCTTGGCCAGCTAATGATCTGGCCTTTAGTAGCGGGGACACTAGTATACTATCAAGTCTCTTTTTAGTTGTCGCAACCAGTTTGGCTGCATCCTTAATTAAGTATTAAATACGGTGTCCAAATAACAAAACACCTTTTCTTTTGTGGCATCCGGTTGGGTTGCTTTTACACCTCATTTGGTTAATAACAACCACTTTGTTTGTACGTTGTACCTTGTAGTAGGTAATTAAAAAATGTTATGATGTATATATAACAAATTAACAATACCGTAAAACAAAGCTTAGACTTACTAACATCTCCCTACTTGTTTTTATCGCAATTTTACAACGGAATCATTGCTATTCACATTGTTACCTGTAAATTGTCTTCTAGAGACATCATTACTCATTAGATGTTAGCAATGCTGAGGTGTTGGTCCACAAATAATTCAAGTTATCTTTCGGGCATTAAATAACTAACGAGGTGCAACAACCAATGTTCCAGCTTGGCACCCGCCCACCAAGATTAAAGTCAATGAATTAATAAAATAAAATTAAAAAAATAATAATAAAAAAAAAAAAAAAAAAATATAAGGATTTTAAAGGATTGTTATATTAGAGGGATTTTAGACTTTTTAGTGTTATCTATAAATACCAAATTCATAAAACAATCTCATCCAAACCCATAAGATTTTGAAGGATTTTTTGAAGTGACTTTTCAAGTGCTTCAAGAATTTTCAAGTGAATTTTTCATCTTTTTTTTTCTATGCTTTTGTCTTCTTCATTTTTTCTTTGCTAATAATACTGCACTACTGTTCATTGCTTATATATAATACTGTAGTATTGTTCCCATTCTATTCTCCTATTTTGTGAAGAATCATTGCACTGGTAATCATAAATTCTAGCAAAAGTCTAAGGTTCTCAGAAAGAATCGAATGCCTATCTTACATATACAAGGTGAATCATTATGCGAATTGGAGACGGCAGGGACCAAAACTAAAGTAAAATAAAAAAAGCTAAACGTGAATGTCACAACGATATAGGTTAAAAGGCATACTGCAATAACTAGACTTAGCCCGATTCCAGCAATTAAAATTTGGAAACATGAAAGTACAATTAAGCAAGAAATTACCTGACCCTATCCTCCAATAATTTGCCATTACATGTAATGTAAACAAAAATTACAATCCGCGCAAAGAGTTAACCATGCTTCTTCAATAAATCAAACAATTTACAAGTACGAATTCTGAAGATGAGCTACTGAGAGACAAATGAAAAGGGGGGAAGGGATTATACATAAACAATGAGTTGTTGTCATCCTTGATATCATGCTTGAGTGACAAACATAAACGAAACCTTCCGACGACATTTGGTTGTTGCTTTGGTCTTCCTCTTAACTTGCACAAGTAATAAACAATCAAAAGGGTGCAGACCAACTGATTATAGTTTTACTTTGGAATGCAGAGTTGACAATGACAACCAAATGATAGAATAATTCATTACTTATCAATACATGAGTGACAGAAGTTCTTAATTCTCCAACTCTCACCTTAGCAAGCCTTTCTTTTATCAACTCTTAAGTGGAGGTTATACCATTTCTTTTTCTTAGGCCGATCTCTTGTACTCCTCTTTTCCTTTGCTGGGCCATCTTCTTTTGCCTCCTTGGAAGAACTTTTACTTCTGCTCCTACTTGTACTACGCCTTAAAGGAGTAATAGTGTATGATGCATGTATTTCATTTCTATTCTTCAGTAGTTCATCAATCTGCACAAGAATAAATAGCAAAGTTCAGTGACTTCCATTTGATGAGATTTTGTTCCGGGCAGGGGGAGGGGGCATGATGCTGCATAGAAACTGTTGTAATACAAGAACTCACTGCTTGCATTTCATGTGCATATCTGCTAGTCATCTCTGAGAATTGAGCCAAAACCTACAAAGACCCAGCATGAGATTCGATGAAAAGTAAAGTAATTACAACCATACAGATTCTTGTATCAAAGTGCACACCTCCCGATATTCTGCCTCAAACTTTGATATTTCTGCCCTTTTTGACAAAATTTGAGCTTCTATATTTCTTAAATTTTCTTTTTCTTCACTAAAAGGGGCAGCACACAGGGCTTCTATTGTATAGTTTGCACTTTTGAAAAAGTTGTCACCTAGAAGAAATTTGACGGTCAATTCCTATAATGCAAAATTACAGCAAACAAACATCCCAGCAGCACTGGCCCACTGGGCAGAAAATATTTACCATAAACAGCGAATACATGGGTACCAGCCTTCAATTCTGTTAATTCACAAGGCTGAAACCCATCCAGTTTTCTGAAAAATGATGTATCTGGATCCTTAGCAGCAGCTATCTGTAGAGAAATAATTCAATGACCAAATTTAAAAATAAATAAATAAATAAAGATAGAAAAATTTTAAATTGAATACTGTCCCTTTTACAGTAGTTACTCACGGAGTTCATTGTTTGATCCAACCGATAAACAGGAAAACCAAGAAAATACATCCCAGCAGAGGTAACCTTCCCTGTTTTTGCACTGTCTTCCTACAACAATTAGTAATGTCATAGAATGTCACCAGAGAGACACAATCATCAAATGAATAAACATTACATCAGAAATAATTAATTCCTCAGGGGGGTGGGGGGGGAGAGGAATACAATCATTATGTTTACAGACATACAGGAGAAAATGTATAATACCTGAAGTGCAAGACTCAAACCACCATTGTCTTCCTGATCGAAATACAATAACTGTGGAAAGGTAATAAACACCATACAGAAAAGATTATTTATAAACCTAATAGATTAATTTTTTGAAATAATAAAAAAAATATATGAAAAACAACTAGAACAATAGTATAACCACACACATCAATATTAATATCATCAGGTTGAGCATAACTCATGCAATCTTCATTGAATGACAGATTTAAATTCCAACCTTGAACTTGCTTTTGTCTGACGACTGTACTCGACAAACAAAACCAGCTCGTGCTTCTGCCTCTGTTATTGTAACTGAATAGAAGTGTGCACATTGCTTCTCAACCTGTCAAATGAAAGCATCAAAATAAAAATAAACATAAGAAAATTATGACAAAAAAAGGATTAATGAATTTAAAAAAGCAGCAGCTCACCCTTTTAGATATATAATGTCCCAATGGAAGTGGACGAATGTTCACTGCACCATTGAGTGCCTCTTCCAAAACAGTTGCAGATACAGTTGTCTTGATTGGCACACCAAGTTTACTGTCATGCATGGAGAAAGTAAATGATGAAAAGGAGGGAAAAGGAGGGAAAAGAAGGGAAGAATTACGGAAAAAAAATAAAAGAAATATTTAGCAATGTTATAAGCATTCAACAGAAGAAAAGGACTTGCAGGCGAAGAGGAAGAGAAGCACATTCAATCTTTCTAGTTTCTACCTAAAAAGTGCTGCAAACATTGTATTGACAGCACCCAAACTTGAAAGATCTAACTCCAACTCTTGGTTATCTGATTCCACAGCCTACACGCAAACATGACATATTTCAGTATCAATGATCCATTTGAAGAGATTGAAGACTACGTTTCCAGGAAAAAAAGATTGGGGACAAAATTGGTAACAAATCAGAATCTTCAAAATGCGATGAAAATCCAAATCTGAAGGATTGATGACACTCCTAATGTCTTGATGTTTGTAATAGTATCAAATCTTATATCACCTCAAAGCCAGCTGAGTCATACTGACGCCGCTTGTCAGGATCTGACAGGATATTGTAAGAAAAGGTAACCTCTTTAAACATATCAGCTGCTTTAGGATCATTAGCATTCTTGTCCGGATGATATCTGAAATGAAATAAATTTAGCTAATTAATAAATTAACCAATCCTGTTCAGATGAAAAGAAGACAGGAAGAACAGTCAACTAGAGAAACCAGGTGAACCTGAAAGTGTATTAATTTATTCTAGTAAAACACCTTTAATACATTAAGTTTAACTGTAAGCCGGTATCAGATGCACGATGACATGATCAGAGGCTTCGTTCCTACATTACATTATTTTTGGAAGGTTATTTGGGCGTGTCTAGATGAACAATTAGCAAGTATTCAAATCGTAAAACAAACAGGTGCCCTGGATAAAATCAAATGAAGGCAAAAAGTGACTTTTCTCGAAAGTTCTATTCTAAGATTTTAAACAGCCTCTGCTCCTTCCTTTCTCCAGATTAATATGACTACATCACCTAAAACTGATTTCAGGTTCTAACACCGAAATTATTCCCTCAACAACTAAACAACCTCCAAAGCACCTTATTCCACATAAAATAGAATTATATTTGCAAAGACCACCAGACACATATTATTCAACACTCGGCAGTTAGAATCACCCTTACAATTATACATAAATAATCCCAAGCACTGACTACTTCTACCAATGCCCAACCACAACATGAAAGTTAAAACCACTTTTGCCAATCATCTTCACTACAATCAAGATTTTAAATACCTATCGCAGTTTCATCATAATCCTTACGGACAATTGCTGCCGAAATCGTGATGTCAGACCATTTTCTTAACCTTGATTGTAATATATCTACCTATCTATCTCTATATGATTTTGAAGAAAAAAAAACCAAGTTCTGCAGCTGTTTGAACAAAGCGGCTACAACAGCTTCTTCAAGAGACTCTGAGAATTAAAATAAAACATATTCTTTTCGTGAGTAACATAAGCATCAGCTAGAGGCATGATTGAAGGAAGAAAAACATTTTTCAAACACATTAATCTCAATATTTAAAAAAAAAAAACAAAAAAAAAAAAACTTAATCCAATAAATGTCGGCTGAGACTATAGCACTATCTCCAATCCACTCTCGAGCACACTCAAAAACCAATGCTAAAATCAAGACGAACCACAACCTCAAACAAACACCAAACAAGAACAAAGCAAAAGCGCGAGCAGGGAATCTAAACGCACTTGAGCGCCATTTTGCGGTAGGCGGTTTTGATTTCCTGATCCGTGGAGTTGCGCGAGACGCCGAGGACCTCATAGGGGTCCCGCCGGAGCTGCTTCTGGGCGGCGCCGTCGTGCTTCTCGGACTTGGAGCGGTGGCCCGTCATCCTGCGGCGCCGTCAACGAAACGACGCGGTGCGCGCGCGTATTCGGCTTCCGCGGGTCGAGCAAAACCCTAGAAGTGGAGTTCCGACGCAGAGAGAGGCAACAGTCTAAGGGAGAATCGAGATCGAAGGGGAAGGGGAAGGGCTAGGGAGGGAGTGATATGGTCCCGCGCGGGTGAGTGACGGAGAAATGTTGGAGCATTGAGAAAGCGTGGCGGTGACGGTGAGATCCAAGCTGGAGCTGGAGCTGAGCTTAGAAGAGGAGAGAGAAATGAGAAGAGACAAGAGCAACAAGTTAGAGAGAGAGGAGAAGAAATTGGAGGGGGAATTGGAATTAACAATATTTGGTTTTTTTAATATTCATTTTAATTTTTCAAATAATAGTAATACTACTGGTGGCTGGTGCTACTGCTACTGTACTTTTTTCTTTTTTCGAATTCGGATGTGATTTGGGAAAGGGTAAGGTGCGCAGGGTGCGTAGTGCGCACGGGGGAGGTGGACGTTTGACAAGTGGGTCTCATCTCTCAACTGACACGCGATTTGGATTGGGTTCATTGCGTTGCGTCCCGGAGATACCTCTCATTAATTTATGCTAAATGCCTTTTAATAAGTGCCTTATTGTTTCCAACTTTTTAACAGAAACTCATCCTGTTATGATTCTCTTCCTATTTTTACACTCGCCTCTCACCTTCTTCCTAAATCTCTTCTTGTTTTTATTTTTTTATTTCCAAACCAATATATTTCTCCACTATTTGTCTTTACTACGACGGAATTTAGTGTGCTTAGATGGTGAAACTTTCGAGAGTAATTTAATTTTTTTTATGAATTTTAAATGTTTGTTTTTATATGATTATTTATAATAAATAAGTATTTTTTAAATATATTGATGTAAATAGCTATTAAAAAATATATTTATTTTAAATAATTATTTAAATTTATATGTAGAAAATATATAAATTAACAATTAACTAGCATTTTAACCTATCTGATGTACATGATAAAGGTTTATTTTTAAAATATCAAATTATATTTTAAAATGTAACATTGTGTGTCTATGCTTTTATGTATTTTTTAATGATTTATAATGTTTTGTGGTGATTTAAGTTATGTTATGTCTTGAGTTATTTTATAGAGCTTTAAAGGTTATGAAATATTTGAGAGTTAAGTTGTTTATAATTATTTAAGTAAGGTCCAGAATGATCAAAAATGGAAAAGATATATAAAATTTTCATAAAATATAAATTTTATAAGTTTATTTTTTAAAATTCTAGAGAAAATTTTTAGAGAAATGAACTATAGAGATAAGGAAGACTTTTCTTCTTCTAACTTCACTAGAAGCGACCTTACTTCCCCTTGAAGTTGAGGCCAAGTTGTATAAGTTGATATTCAAGCTGAAATAGTTTGAATTTGTATAGAGAAGCCAACTTTTAAGGGTTTGAGTATTCTTCCCTTTTTATTTAATCTTTGTTCGGCAAAAAGTGTGGCTCGAAGGATAAGTCGTCAATTTATGAAGGCCAAAAGCCTATTAAAAGACATTTTTACTCAATGACACATTGGTTGCCTAATGAGAATATGTGATCATGGTGAACACTTAAAGTTATGTAAAGCGACATTATCGTCATTAGGTGAGCTTGAGTTTTTGTTGGTGTGAGTTGTAAACTCACTAAGTTAAGGTGTATTAGCTAAGCGAGCTAAGGCCTCTAACCTAGACCCATAATTTCTTGGGCACCCGATGAGAGAAGTTGCATTGGGCAAGGGGTAGGTCAGAGAGTTCCACTTGCCCAACAAGATGTAGCTTGCTTAGCGAGAGGAGGAAGAGAAAGTTTTGTTCAACCATTGAGTTATAGCTCACTCAACGAGAACTCCTATTGTTGGTTTGGTTGCTTGATAAGTCAAAGCCTGCCTGATAAGAACCCTATTTTTTGAAACTTTAAGTTAGGGGATTTTATGTTGTTTTTCTATGAAGTTCTTTTTTACTTGAGTTGATATATATGTTGCAATGAGGTGAATGCTAATAGATTTCCTACTACAAAAAAAATGCTGATTTCCGACGGAAATTTCTGACGGAAATAGGTAAATTTTTGACGGATTTTTCTTTTTCCGACAGATTTCTGACGGATTTCAATCCGTCGGAAAAAGTGGCGTCGGAAAAAAAATCCGTCGAAAATAATTTTTCTGACGGAAATTTCCGACGAAAAATTCTGTCGGAAAAATTCGTCGAAAATTTCCGACGGAAAAATCCATCGGAAATTATAATTTTTTTAATTTTAATAAATTTATTAATGTAACAACTCTTATATTTGGCCTCTCAAGGGTTCTATTTCACAATATTTCACTGTTTAGCGGGAAACTTCCCAGAAGGTCACCCATCCCAGTACTACTCCAAGTCAAGCACACTTAACTGTGAAGTTCTGATGAGTAAGCTACCGAAATGTCTATGTATGTTGTCAATATAACTTGTACAAATTAATTCATTTAAGTCATCCTCAAATATACAATCTCATATTTATACTATAATAATAATATATAATAATTTTATATTACAAATAATAATAATTAATAATAATAATATATTTAATTATTATTTATTTATATGTACTTACTTTTATAATTAACGTCTACTTATTTTTATTTAAAATTATAATTTAAATTATTTAATTTTATAATTTATAATGATAATATAATTTAAAAAATTATAAATATTTATTTAATACATACTTATAAATTAAATTTTAATATTTTAAATAAATTATTAATTAATTTAATATATTTATTTACCTTAAATCAAACATATAAAATTCAAAAAATATATTTCTCCTTATTTTGTTTCTAATTATCAATTATTAATAAAATACTAACTTAAAATCTTATCTAATTATATATAATATTTTCATATCAAATTTAAAACCAGATATTAGTTATATATGAGGAGGGTTCAAACGACTGCAGTGTAACTTTTACTAAGTGTTACACCACTCAATAACTTTATATTAAATATGAATTTTGAAAATCCAACCGTTAGATTGAAAGTTCATATCTCTTAGATCATATATATCAAATTTTGTTTAAATTGAACAACAACTTGAAGGTAACAAGGTGTTCATATTTTAGTATATTTTGAAATGTGTATATTACGTCAATTTTATTTTATGATAATAAAGTATCAAATCATCTTAGATTAATATAAAATTTGATATATATGATCTAAGAGATATGAACTTTCAATCTAACGGTTGGATTTTCAAAATTTACATTTAATAACAAGTAATTGAGCGGTGTAACACTTAGTAAAAGTTACACTAGTGTCATTTGAACCCTCCTCTATATATATATATATGTGTGTGTGTGTGTGTGTGTGTGTATATGTGTGTGTGTGTAGTGTGTGTGTGTGTGTGTGTATATATGTGTGTGTGTGTATATATATATACACACACACACACACATATATATACACACACACACATATATATACATACACACACACACACACACACACATATATATATATATGCATAAAGTATATCTACTAACTAGCTCGATATTTCCATAGCGTTACAACTCTCCCCAACAATAAAAATTTTCGTCCTCGAAAATTCACTTACTCAAAAGAGATATGGGTATTGATCCTTCATTCTATCTTCCAACTCCCAAGTGGTTTCATTTGTAACTCCATCCCAAATAAACTTTACCAAATTGATAGATTTTCCCCGCAGCAGCTTAACTTTCTTATCTGCCACTGAAACTAGCTGTTTCTTGAAAGTTAAATTCTCCTTAACTTGCACTACCTCTGATTCCAAAACATGACTCGGATCATGAATATACTTCCTCAGCTGGAAAACATGGAACACATCATGCAGATTAGACAGGAATGGAGATAATGCAATCTGATATGCCACTGGTCCAATCCTCTTGAGAATTTGATACGGCCCAATAAACTTAGGATTCAACTTCTTAGCTTTGATAGCCCTTCCCACACCTGTAGTGGGAGTAACCTTAAAAAATACATGCTCTCCCTCTGAAAACTCCAACGGTTTCCTCCTCTTGTCTGCATAATACTTTTGCTGACTCTGAGTAGGTTTCATTCTTTCCTGAATTTGTTTCACTTTTTCGGTAGTCTATAAGATGATCTCTGGCCCCACTATCATTGATTCTCCCTCTTTAAACCAATACAAAGGTGTTCGACACTTCCTCCCATACAGAGCCTTAAATGGTGTCATTCCTATACTTGCATGAAAACTGTTATTATAAGTGAACTCGACCAATGGCAACATTTCTTCCCAACTCCCTAGATGATCCAAAATACAAGCCCTCAACAAGTCCTCCAAAGATTGGATAGTCCATTCAGACTGCCCATCAGTCTGTGGGTGATAAGCAGAACTGAGTCTCAACTTAGTCTCTAACGCCTAGTGCTAACTCTTCCAAAATCGGGAGGTAAAATGAGGATCCCTATCAGAAATGATACTGGAGGGCACACCATGTAATCTAACTATCTCCTTGATATACAACTAAGTTAACTTTTCCAATGACCATTTTACATTCACTGGAAGAAAATGAGCACACTTAGTTAATCTATCCACAATCACCCAAATAGAGTCACAATTCTTAGCAGACCTTGGTAATCCAACAACAAAATCCATGGTTATACTATCCCATTTCCATTCTGGCACTTCCATCATCTGTAACAAACCTCCTGGTTTTTGATGTTCTACAGAATTAAAAATAATAATTAAAAATAAGATTTCCGACGGAAGATTCTGTCGAAAATTTCTGACGGAAAAATAAATCCGTCGGAAATTTCCGACGGAATATTCCGTCAGAAATTTTCCATCGGAAATTTTTTCCGTCGGAAATTTTCGACGGATTTATATTTTCGTCAGAAATTTCCGACGGAAAATTTTCGACAGAAAATTCCGTCAGAAATTTCCGACGGAAAAATAAATCCGTCGAAAATTTCTGACGGATCCGTATCCGTCAGAAATTTTCCATCGAAAATTTACATTTTTTTTGTAGTGTCCATATGTTTCTTAAGTTGCTTTAATATGTTATAAAGTTGTCAGTATATATAAATTGTTGAGATGTGATGAGTTGATTTAGTTGTTGACTTAAGTTGACTGTGAATATTGTAAAATATAAATTCTTTAAGTTGCTTAGTTGTGTTAGGTTAGTGAGTTGAGATGTTTATGTTGTATGCATTGCTTGTCCCAAGTTGAAAGTTGAACTTAGAAACTAGAGAAGAGTGAGTTGTTTTGAGTTGGAAGATCTCATTGTGAAGATGTGAATTGTCGTACTCTAAGAGCCTAATGGTGAAAATCCTTCACTGAGAGAGTTGGTTCTTA